AAATAACTAAATAAAATTTTAATAAAATAAAGAATCCTGATAAATGAAACAGACAGCTAACTTTTGGTTTCAAAGAAAACTCTTACGATATAATATATCTCGCAGCTAGGCTGTTGCTASGCTGTTAGCATTGAGTAAACACAACTCGCGCACTAATCCCATGGAAACTGACGTCATGAAATACCTTATGATGTCACAGCTTGTTATCGTTTTCAATTTTTGAAAAACGTAGGTTTTTCAGTCATTACATTATTAAGATAAATAATTTATGGAATCCCATAGCTGATCATAAATACCATGTGCGCTGATTGGCTAGAGATGATGTATACAAGAAGAGGGTATTCACGTGAAATGGCATGAAAAATCAGGGATCCCACGTTAAATTTTGCTTTAAAGTTAACTTTTGTTCATTCTTCAACCCATCAAATAGCAAATAAACTTGAAAACTATCTAATGAAGAAACAAAGAAAGACTATTTGCATGATAAAATAAAAGATATGTTCCAGAAAATCTAACAATAAATCTAAGAACGAATGAAATAAGTCAGATATATTGTTATATTATTGATGACGTCACTATATCGTCATTTTTTCCATTTTGGACGCGCCCTTTTGTGTTTCTGTGTGCAATAGCTTACAAGTACGTCAGCGTCTCAGCGGTACGCTAAATGATCATACATCCTAGTAAGGCTATCGGGTCTAGTTTGTGATGAATTCCAAGACAAGTTATGCAATATATACCTTTTTGTTAAAAGAAACGTTGTCTTTGCCAAAGGCGATACGCGATAACAGGTCATTCAACACTAAGGTCCATGTTGTTGACGAGAATAAGAAGCAGAAGCACAAGTCATTCCAGCTATTCTTGGATCTTGGAATGACCGATTACCTATCACTTCTCGCCTATCGCCTATTGCCTATCGCCTTTGGCAAAGACAACGTTTCAGTGCTATAAGATATTTCCGTAGTGTAGTGGTTATCACGTGCGCTTCACACGCGCAAGGTCCTGGGTTCGAACCCCAGCGGAAACATTTTTTTCCAACAGATAATGCATTTTTAATGTCTTTAATAACAAAACATGCACAGCTAGCAATTCCAAAAACGGTTGCTACGAAAATGCAAAATGTCGTATTGCAAAGAAAATCTACTCTGATAAATTTTAGTAAAATTGAGAAATCAGGTAACTATTCGTTGATTCGCAATCGGGTCCAGGAGTTATTCAGTGTCGGATTACCCCCACCCAGAAAGAATAGAGTTAATATGCACATGAATATAATATGCATATGAACAACACATCATTCAATAAGTTTCATTTTATCACTTAATAATATATGGAAGTTTAGTCCTAAAGCTTGTTTACTTATCGTATATGTATTACAAGAGCAACTTTATCGAATTATGAAGATAGAAATATGATATCACAACCACAAAAACAAATAAATAAATAAATGAATGAATGAATGAATGAATGAATGAATGAATGAATGAATGAATGAATGAATGAATGAATGAATGAATGAAT